CCCCAAAACCCCAAAACCCCAAAACCCCATATAACTAAGATAAGACAAAATAAGCGATTAGCAAAATGGAAAATTTATATATAAATTATATTAAAAGATGTTCATACATGCCATTAGAGTTGCCCAAACCTAAAATAATTTAGGCAGATGGAGAGCAAGTCGCCCAACTGGTATGTCTGCTCCTCAAAGAAGTTAAACTTCAAGAAATATTCAACCAAGAACAGGTAGCAGATAGATGAGGTAAGTAACCTAATGTTCATAAAAATATCAGACTTTTATAAATTTCTCTCTGAAAACAATAATCAATTTAATTTAATAGTCGAAGAATACAAAGAAGATAGACTTAGGAAATCGCCAATCCAAGGCAATTTTATTTCAGAAGCAATAATTAGGTTAATCCTTTCACCTTCAACGAGCAATACATTAATCATATCTTGAATAGATCAATGCAGAGTGATACTGACACCAATTTGAGACTGAACAGATTAAGACAGCAAGCAATCTTTGGATTAAATGCTGGCATTGAAAATGACTAGGATGATCTTGGGGACCCTAGATTACAATCTAATTGGACTTCATTACTAATTTATGCCTAGAAAAGGCAAACTTAATACCGATAGATTAAAAGAGATTTGGTTATTAATATAGTGTTATTCTTCGCATTTCTGATAATCCTACTTTTTTCAATAAAGCTCGACACTCAGCTCTGCGGCAAATAACATTAAATATGGATAGGATTATATACATTATTCTACTTTACTAAAGTGGTTATCACTACTTACCAAATGTTCTTGGCTCATAGAAATAAATAAAAATTAATACGTTAAACTTCGATAATTAAATCATTGGTATTTAATCCTATTTAAATTGCTTGGCTGGTGTATGGAAATATTTTATTTTACACCTACAATATTGAGAAGGAGTGTGGGCCTAATCAATCAGATATGACAAGGCTTTCCACATTCTTGCTAATCATCATGATTGTAGGATACATATAGTTGGTATACTTCCTGCTGACATTTCTTTTCCTGCTATATGTTTATTTCAAAAGAAGAGAATAGATAAATATTGCTTAGGAATAAGAAGCCAGAGAGATTGAGATCATTGAGAACGCAGAATAAATTTAATTTCCTTTCAACTAAGACTAAAATTAGTACCATCTTAGGCTGCTAGTTACTAATTTAGATCCTTATCTTGATAAATTAGAGCTCTATAAATTCTAATTAGATCTGACAGACCCCTAGCAGCTTGATGAATGTGCTATTTGCCTCAATAAATTTGTTTAAAATGAAGATCTAATAATTTTGAAATGCGATAAACGGCATTACTTTCATAAAGATTGTGCTAGAGAATGGATTAAAATCAAGGCTAATTGCCCATTATGCAGGCAAGAGTTTAAGAATGAGATCATTCACTTCCGAAGTAATAGTATATAATTAAACAATTTGCCTACAGTGACTAATATTGAATACCAATCAAATGACAATATATTAAATAATAGACCACAGATTATCGAATCGAACTTAAGGAGTACAGTAATGCCCGCTGCTCCTCCTTAACCTTCAAGATCTAGACTACTTTAGGTTATCAATATGTTTAATGAAATTGATAGCAACAACTCTATGATTATTCCAATGAACAGTCAGGATGAATCTGATTAGATTTAAAATTTAGGAGGAAGGAACCGACGAAGAGCAAGAACTGGACGTAGAAATCAATCTAATATTCACATAATTGAGCCAAATGCTACTAGTATCATCCATGTTATAAATACCATTGCTTATCACAACCCATAAAATATAGATACATAGATACAAGGCAATATCTAAGAAGAGTAGATTATTAATGCTCTGGCTAGAAGCTAGACTAGAGTATTGAATAATAATTAAAGGAACTTCGACGCAAATGATCCTGAAATAGACATGAGAAATTTTAGAACTCATTTAAATGAATTTCGACGTACTTAGAGATAAGGTAGAAGACATATTCGCAGATTTAATAGTTAGGACTTTGATGCTAACACTCTAGAATAGCTTGACCTTCAAAACTAAAACTAATGAATACTGAAATGAAAGTTTATCATTTATAAATCAGCCTTTAAAAATGATTGTTATAATAAGTTATTGCATTTAAAATTTTAAATACTTATTAGAGAAATAATTAAACAAAGTCCTAATCAAAAACTTAGAATACATTCTATTTCCATTTTAATATGGATATGGGGTTTTGGGGTTTTGGGGTTTTGGGGTTTTGGGG